GGATCAAACCTGCATTTCTTATGTCTCCCGAATTGGCTAACAGGTTCTTAACCACTAGCACCACCTGGGAAGCCAACAATAGCTACTAAACAACTAGTGGATCACTGAAGAAATCAAAGAGCAGATAAAAAATACCTAGAGAAGAATGGAAAGAAAAACACAACTATTCAAAACCTATGAGACACAGCAAAAGGAGTTCTAACAGGGAAGTTTATAGCAACCCAAGTGCTAACAAGATCGTGTGCATGTAAGTCACTTCAGTCGTGTCCTACTCTGTGCAACCCCATGGACTGTAACCTGGCAGGCTCCTCTGTCCAAATACTGGTGTGGGTTGCCATTTCCTTCTCCTGGGGATCTTCCCGACCCAGGGATCAAACCCGGTCTCTTAGAACTCCTGCACTGACAGGCAGGTTCTTTACCACTAGCGCCACCTGGGAAGCCCCACAAGGATGCAGAACAACTGAAATTCTCAAACACTGCTGGGATAAATGCACAATGGTACTGATACTGTGGAAAACAGTTGAGCAGTTTCTTCTCAAGTGGTACTAGTGGTAAAGAATCTGCCTGCCAATGCAATAGACACAGGAAACATGGGTTCAATCTCTGGGTTGGGAAAATTCCCTGGAGTGGGAAGTGGCAACAAGCCCCAGTATCCGTTCCTGAAAAATTCCACGGATGGTGGAGCCTGGAGGGCTACAAACCATGGAGCCACAAAGAGTCAGACGTGACTAAGTGACTGAGTGCACACAGACACACACACACACACACACTTTAGAAAATAGTTGAGCAGTTTCTTCAGAAAGTAAACATATGTTTACAGTAAGATCCAGCATTCCCACTCCTATGTATTTACCTGAGAGACATGAAAAACCTGCATGCAAATATTTACAACAACCTTTATTCATAATCACCAAAAATTAGCAAATATCCCTCAACAGGGGAGGGGTAAACAAAATGTGGTATATACATCCCATACAATGAAATGATAAACAGAAATTTTAAAAAATAAACTACTGATAAATGCAAAATAAATAAATGTCAAGTACATTATGCTAAATTTATGAAAGTGCAAGTCACTCAGTCATGTTTGACTCTTTGCGACCCCATGGACTATACAGTCCATGGAATTCTCCAGGCCAGAATACTAGAGTGTAGCCTTTCCCTTCTCCAGGGGACCTCCCCAACCCAGGGCTTGAACCCAGGTCTACCCCATTGCAGGTGGATTCTTTACCAGCTGAGCTACAAGGGAAGCCCAAATTAAGGAAGCCAGACTCAAAATCTACATACTGTATGATTCCATTTATGAAGGCAAACTACAGGGACAATAAATAGATCAGTGGTTGCCAGCAGCTGGAGCACTGTTTGGGTAGGAGAGGACCTTAAGAGACAGCATGAGGGAGTTTTTGTAGTGGTGTAACTTTTTTAATCCTTGAGATGGTAATTACATGCATTTATCAAAACTCATAAAACTATACACTAAAAGGGATGAATTTTGCTGAAACAGAAAGGCAGTTCATAAAAGAAAAATATGTCATATGGAAGAAACTTTAGGATAACCCATTCAACTGATAAGAGGGAAAACTCAGGAAGGGGAAGTGATTAACAGTTTTATCTTAGGTAGTAAGAATAGTGAAGTGAGAACCAAACTCTCCTGCCCTGTCTAGGACCCTTTCCACTACAGCAATATTTTCCAATGTTGTTTTCCTTAGTAAGAAATACATCATTACCACAAATTTGGCAGCTTAAACCAGTACTTATTATCTCACAGTTCTGCAATTTAGAAGTCCAGCACACAGTGACCAGATTATCTGTTCAGGGTCTCACCAGGCCAAAGTGAAGTTGTCAGCTGGCCTGGGCTTTATCTGGAGGCTCTAAGGGACTATCCACTTCCAAGACCAGGCAAGTTACTGGCAGAATTCAGTTCAACACAGTTGTGGGACTGAGGTCATGTCCCTGCTGTCAGCCAGAGGTTGTTCTTGGCTTCTGAAGGCTGCCGCATTCCTTGGCTCATAACGCTTTCCACCTTCAAAGCCAGCAGCAACAGACCATGTACTTTTAATGCTTTCACTCTTTCTGACATCTTCTCCTGCCACATCTCTAACTTCTACCCTCAGCCAGGACAAAACTCTGTTTTGAAAAGTTTGTGACTGCATTTGGCTGGCCAGATAATTCAGGATAATCTACTTTAGTCTGCTGATTAGTAACCTTAATTACAACTGCGAAATCCTTCTTGCCATGTAACATGTTCACAAGCATGTCACCAGGCACAAAGACCACAGGGGCAAAACTGTGCCCACCACATAGATTTTACACAATGACCTAGTATACACGCATATAAAGGAAACAAAAATACTAACCTTTCACTCAAGTGAACACTGGTGCTTTTAATAATGATGGCAACATACTACATTGATATCATGTCCTATTAATGGGCTGCAACCTCTTGAAAAAAGGCCTGCATTCCCTTTTTCTTCTCCATAATTTATTGTGAGATGAACGTTAAATAAAATTTTATCACTTGCTTTAATGCACGTCTTCTTGAACAACTCTTCATTTTTCCTTGGAAAAGATTATAAGCCACACCTTTGAGGTAATGAAGAGTTTTTAAGCACCACTGCTAAGGACTTGAACATTCATCTGCAGGTACTTATCTGCTTGGTAGATGCACAGTGGGGGTCCTGATGTTTTCACAGCCATCCTCTATGACAAGTTTTTGGAAAACATTGATCACAATGATCTTCAGCTCATAGGCTCTGCTGCACAGAATGCAACTGAGAAGGCATGGAGGAGAGCTCGAGGTGGCAACAGCCAGGTGGGCGAGGGGAAGGTGGCCTCCTGGGATGACTTGGAGGCCTAGGCCTCGCCGACCGCTGGGCCGTGCCTGGAAATGAACGAAGGCCACTGGGATGGGGGGTCCCTGGGGCGGGACCCACAGGGCAGAGGGGCTCGAGGCCGACCTAGAGACTGGCACGGAGTCGGGGTCCCATAAGAAAATGATCTATTTCCGGAGGGACTTCCCCCTTGAACAGCCGGGCCCTCCATTCCCTTTTAAATTCCTATCTGCAATAATAACGGAGAAGGCAATGGCAACCCACTCCAGTACTCTTGCCTGGAGAATCCCAGGGACGGCGGAACCTGGTGGGCTACCGTCTAGGGGGTCGCACAGTTAGACACGACTGAAGCGACTTAGCAGCAGCAGCTGCTACAGTAATAAAACAGGAGGCTCATGTAAGGGCCTCGGGCCTGTGCAATGCCTGAAATTATATGCAAAGCTCTGGAACTAATCATAACAAAAACAGACAAACCCATGATGGGATACCTCCCCAGTGCCACAGAAAGCTATCACAGTCATGAAGAGACAACAGACTGAGAAACTGTCATAGACCAGGAGACTGGGGAGACAAGACAAGGAAATGCAATGCACTGGATTGGGTATTAGAAGAGGAAGAGGATATTAATGGATATTAACATTAATTAAAGAAACCCAAAAAGCCCGGACTTCAGCTAATAGTGATACATCAGTGTTTTAGTTTTGACAAATGTACCTGCCAATGTGATGTCAGAAATGGGGAACTCGCTGAGGAGTATGTAAGAGCTCTCCACTACCTAGGCAGCTTTTCTGTAACATTACAGGATTAAGCATCTGTACATTTTCTAGGGAGATTTAGACTTTGTGCCTTTCGTTCACGATCCAAAAATAGTTAAGCTCCACTGTTCAAAGCTTCCTGCTGCTTTTCTTAACCACTACTTTCTAAGTACTCTGCCTCCTTCCTCCTATGACACCCACACCTTCCATCAAAACACAAAATTTAGCCAGGGCCTGGGGAAGGAAAGAATAGGGGATTATTTTTTAATAAGTTCAGTTTCAGTAAGGGAAGATAAATTGTTCTGGAGATGGATAATGGTGATTACAATGGGAATATACTTAATACCACAGAATTATATACTTAAAAATCACTAAAATGACACATTTTATGTTCTGTATATTTTACCACAATTTTAAAAATAAAGGAATGGGTACTGAAGCATGCTGTAAGATAAAACATTACAAAGATTATCTTAAGAAGCCAGACATAAAATACCACCTATAAGTCCCTTAACAATGTTCTAAAATTGACTGTAGCAATAGGTGTATGTATCTGTGAATAAACTAAAATCTACTTAAACGTGCACTTTAAATGGGTAAATTGTATGGTGGTTATTTAGTCGCTAAGTCGTGTTTGACTCTTGCAACTCCATGGACTATAGCCTGAATCTGGTGGCTCAATGATAGTAAAGAATGAACCTGCCAATGCAGGAGACAAGTTCAGTCCCTGGGTCAGGAAGATCCCCTGGAGGAGGAAATGGCAACCCACTCCAGTATTCTTGCCTGGGAAAGCCCATGGACAGAGGAGCCTGGTGGGCTAGAGTTGGACATGCCTTAGCAACTAAATGACAACAAAAGCTATTAAAATATTTTAATTGATTTTATATCTAGGATCACATTTATTTGACCTCTGAAGACCTTAAGTGACATCCCGTAAATTCTGGAGTCACATTTTGCTAATGTGCTAAAAAAAAGAAAAAAGAAAAAAAGAAAATGAACAAATAAATGAAAGACTGAGGTTTATAATGGCTATCAGGGAAGATCAGAAAGATCTATGGCTAGGCATGGTGGCTCTCTAGTCATGAGGCAAGAGCACAGACAAGTTTATAAAACACACAAGGCTAAAGTTGATCAGAAACCTTTATTTGGTCCTTATCCTTTATTAACCAACCTACACAAACCATCTTCTGTATTTCTACCACAAGCAGCTGCATCCAGGCCAGAAATGGAAGACCCAAGTAGTGGAAGACCTTGTAGATTAAAGCTAACAGGCTTATTCAGGCTTAGGTGAATGTAGAACAGAAAAAAAATGTGTAAGTTCAACATTTTAAAGACTCTTCTTCAAAGCTGATGCCTGCAGAGGGTCTAGCTGAAGGATGCAGGTACAGGCTCACAAAACTGCCCAGCTCAGCAATCAATCCAAAGTACCTAAAAACACAAAGAGCAATGTTTAAAGCAAGGTGCTTCAAGAACTGGATGAATGTAGCAAAATGGGCAAAATGAAAGATGATTTGGTACTAGAAGAACTGCTAGAAATACCCATCCAAAAAATCCTTGGGGAAAAAACATGTCATTATGAGGGTGGGCAGTTGAGTCTAGACAATTCAAATCAGTGGTGGGAAAAGGGCTAAGAAGTTGTGTTACTTAATGAGCATCTGTGGAGACTACACAAGGGGTGAGTGATACAAAATAAGTAAGTTCTCTAAGTAGAGTTTATAATCTTTGAAAAAGATGATAAACAAAATCAGCAGGCTCTCTTCTAAAGAACTAAATGAATTATCTGGGGAACTAGTGTAGCTTCTGAAAATTCTAGCTTCCCACAGTCAAGTTTTCTGCAATCCAGAATAACATAACATCTGGTTCCACCTCTACCCACACTAATATAAAATTGCAAGGCAAAAACCACCCTCCATACAGATACATACACAAGTTCCAAAGAGCCTTCTTATTCCCACATGCTAAAATAGAATAAAAATTACAAGGCATTTGAAGAATGCCTATCTAGTGAAAGGAAAGTAAAAAGAATATCTCAGGGAAAGAACATGTAAGGACAACAAAACAAAGAAGGAATACCTCAAATTTTTTAATAGCCTCTGCTTTTGATAATGGGAAGTTCCTGCTGAGATCAAACTGATACAGCTGATTTAAAATATTTTTAAAAAGAAAATCCTTCAGGCATTAAACAGGCCTCATGAAGAGGCAAATCCAAAACCTAGAGAAGGCAAGAACATAAAGAAAACCTAGCCTCCAAAACTGCTTTTACCTCAGGGGAATCTGCCAATCCAAAAGAGAGCTGAGAAATTGTGTTGTGATCTGACAAAGGAAATGAAGAGTCAAATATGAGAATGTGCCCAAGTGGAAAGGTTGATATCCTTTCCAAGTGGAAAGGATAAAGGTTGCCCCCTCTTTAAATCCCCTTTAAAAGCTGGATTCCCAAAAGGCTGCACCCTCAGAGTAAGGCTGAACTAGAATTAAATCAGTCCCCTCACAGGCCTGACATCACGGATTATATCAACAGAGTGATCAAGAAATCCTCAAGTCTTGGATTCAAGAAAAAGGTCCTGCACCGATACCTGCCTCTAGGTGTCTTGTAGAAGCAAATAAAAATCTTTGGAGAAAGGTCTCATTATAAAGGCCTCAAGTGATTATCCAACAAATAACTTTTTCAAATACTATGACCAAATACACCAAGATAACTAGGCATATGGGGAAAAAAGACCATGATACAGTACCAACAGAAACAATAAAAACAGAAAAGTAAGTAAACCAGCCTTAAAAGGCTTTGAATATTAGATTGGACATAGACGATAAACAAGTGCACATACTATAGGTAACGAAATGAAAGACAAGCTTCAAAACATCTGTAGCAAATACAAATAAAAAATGACAAAAGAGATTTGAAAAGTAATGAAATGGAATTCACAAAAACTAAAAACTACAAAAACAAGAACTGAAACTAATAACTCAAGAGAAAGAGTTTAAAGGAGACAAGACTCTTTCTGACTCAATGGCTCCCACCAAAACTGACATCCTAGCTGGATGAATTAAACTAATAGCCTTCCAAAATATTTCCTTTAACCTCAAGAAGTAAGTCACTTTTTCTATAAAATGTGGTTTTTGACCTTGATGATGATTTAATTTATCATATACACAGGGAGGAAGATTATTATTATCCCTCCCCAGTGGTGGGAAAATAAATTTCATGGACATTTCCAATATCCTTTGGGAGGGAAAAAAGTTCAGTGTTATCATTGTGGCATTTGTTAATTTTTTTGAAAAAACTGCTTGTCTGTTTCTTAGACACTACTGTTTATTTTTTTTATACTTTCATAGCATATGATTTGGTGGGAATAAAGCAAGTGTGAGTTGGGAGAGGATGAAGATATATGTGATCATCTGTACAGAGAGACTGGACTAAAACATGCAGCTAAATTACATGTAATCTCGTTTTGTAAGTATCAGATATTCAGGAATATTGTGAGCACCATTTACTTTTTTTTTTTAAGTGCCTTGATTCAGTCACTTGACTTTAAAACATTCCTCTTATTTTACTGTTATTTTTAGTGTGGATTTTGACCCTAAACTGTGTATTATGATGCTGTCTATCGGCTGCAGTCATAGCATATGTTTTGTTCCAATAACAGAGACCAAAGAGGTGATCAAATATGCTTCAGCTGCTACAGTTGTGTGATTAAAAGGTGCTTTAATCACACCAAATTTCCATGGCCCAAACAGTCAAGGCCAGCCATTTGTTTTCTATTTCAGGTTGAAGTAAATTTGCACTTTTAATCATATGGGTCACTGGGGACCTTGTTCTTTCATACTTTGCTTTATTAATAAAGGAACTTACAGAAAAAAAATAAATAAATAAGGAGACAAGACCACAGAAGAGAGAATTATAAACTGGAAAGTCAGGAAAATTACACAGAATACATCATGGAAAGGCAAAACTATGGTTAACTTTTAGCATATGCTTAATGTAAATCCCAGAGAGAAAGCAGAAAGAACAAGAGAAAGGAGAGAGGAAGAGCCTTCTCCAGGAGAGATGAAAGACCTCAATCCATAGATTTAAAAAGCCTAAGCAAACTTAGGAAATTATTCCTGGATACATCAGAGTGAAACTACAGAAAAATCAGACAGAGAAAATCTTTAAAACCAGAAAAAGGGGGGTAATTAGCTTCAAAAGAAATAATACAAGCCCCCAAATAAAAGAATGATCCTTCAACATGCTAAAACAAATAAAGTTCCACCTAAAATTCTATCTTCAGCAAAATATCTTTCAATAAAGAAAGTAAATCAGTGAGCCAGAGCAGGTAGGAAGAAAAAAACTTTTAAAAAGGTACTTTTAGACCCCCCCAAAATACAAAAACAAAAAAACAAAAGCAGAGTTTGCTACCACCAGACCCTTTATGATTTATTTTGGAAAGAAAATGATCACAAATGGAGGAGCAGAAATTTAACAGGAAAAACAAGCAAAGACAGTATAAATATATGGGTAAATTCATGTATGATTGCCTGTGTAACATAGCAATAATGCCTTATGTGATGTGACAAAGACAAAATAGGTGACAATAACGTCATGAGTGTGGGATGTGGGACTTGTACATTGAGCTAATGGATTCTAAGATCCTATTTTTTGAGGATAAAGGAAAAAGTATTAACATTAGGCTCTGATAAATTACGGATGCATGTAGTAACTGGTAGAATAACAAAAAAGAGATTTTAACTCCCAAAGTGATAGGGAGAATCCTGAATAAATTATACTTAAAAGGCAAAAAATAGAAAAAACATAAAATAAGGAAAGCATAAAATAAGATGGTACATTTAATCCATATATATCAATTACATTAAATTAAATGCTCCACTTAAAGACAAAGACTATAAACCCACTTTTTTTTTAAACAATTCACATCATACACACCAAAAATACATCTGCATGTAGAGAAATTCTCCCTGAAAACTAACTGGAGATTGGCAGAAAAACTCCTATACAACCAAAGCTGTAAGAAAGATCCCCACAGAGTTAAGAAGGGAAGGGAAGAGGTCAGGTCAGGACCTGTATCCAGGAGTAGATACAGATGATAAGGCAGATCACACGGTTTGGAGCTTCTCCCTGGGTACTGAGCAGTTTGAATCACAACAAGGGCACCCCAGCTCTGGGGCCTAACACAGGGAGGATGAGTCCTTCTTAGCTGGTTTGAAATCCAGGGGGACTGACAGTGTGGTTGTAAAAAACCTAGACTCCACTCATGACGAATGTACACACACACGTGCTTACTCCCACAACAATGCAGAAGCAGCAGACTGAAGCCATGACTACCCAGTGCGTGCCCCAGCCCACGTCAAGTGCCTCCTCCAGCCCCACTTGCTCCACAGTGCGGTTCCACACTAGGGCAAAGGCTGCCACAGCTGAGGACAACTCACGGCCATGGCGGACACAGCCAGCTTGGATCTGACAGGGCATCTGAACAGAACAAGGGAGCCCATTACTGGTGGTCACAGGGTGCCCAATCAGGAGCGATCTGGAGTTCTGACTGGTGCTGGGGCCACCCCTGCACGCACCCCAGTCTGTGTCAAGCCCCCACTCTGGTCCTCTTGCCCCACAGGACAGCTCTCCACTAGGGCAAAGGCTGCCATTGCTGAGGAACGTGCACAAGTGCGGAGGCCAGGGCAGGCTCAAGCCTAGCACAGCATCCAAACAAGGAAACGCCACCCACTTCCAGGGTTCACAGCAGCCGGAGCGCACAAGCAGCCTGTAGCTCCGACTGACGCCAGGACCATCCAAGCACAGCCCCCAGCCTCCACAGGTGCCCAATTAGCCCTTCTGGTTCCAGCACTGCACTCCTTTGGAGCAACAGTGCTGATGCCTGGAGGACGAAAGAACACACACTCAACACGAACAGAGCCAGGCTGGACCTTCCTCTAAGGGCTTCTGCTCCAGCAATTTGGGACCTGACATCACTCGTGATAGGGTAGTGTTGGCAACTGATGAGTGAAGAAGACCCAGGTCACACCTCCCTTTGGGTCTGGCCCCTCCATATCCAGCCCGACCTTACTACTAAGGTGATAGCTGCCAGCACACTGAGGTAAGATGTGACATGTGTTCACTTAAAATCCAACTGTCCCATCAAAGTCACTGAGCACACACAGACCTTAGAGATGCTCCCAAATAAGCACTCCCCTTCAAGACCAGGATGGGTGACTGTTTCACCTAATTTCACAGAGACAGAGAAATCTTAAGCAATATGAACTTCTTTAAAATGAAGAACAAGGGAAAAAACCCTGAAAGAACAACTAATGAAACAAAAGTAAATAATTTACCAGATAAAGAGTTCAAAGCATTAGTAATAAGAATGCTAACTGAACTACGGAAAATAATAAATGAACAGTGAAAATTTTAACAAGGATACATTTCTACTAACAGACAACATTCCAAGACTGAATGAGGAAAAAAAGATAATCTGAATAACTGGACCACCAGTAGTAAAACTGAACCAGTAGTCAAAAAATATGCAGCAAAGAAAAGTCCAGGACCAGACAGCTTCAGAGAAATTCTACCAAATATACAAGCAAGAGCTAATACCTATCCTTCTCAAACTATCCCAAAAAACTGGAGAAGGAAACACTCCCGAGTTCATTCTACAGTAAGACCACCATTATTACCCTGATACCAAAATGAGACAAACTAAAAAAAAAAATTACAGCCCAATACCACTGATGAATATCAACATAAACATTCTCAAAAAATATTAGCAAACCAAATCCAACAATATGTTTAAAAGAATCATACACCACAATCAAGTGGACTCTCTATTCCAGGGGTACAAGGACAGTTCAATATTCACATTAACAAAAGAAAAGACTAAAAACCATATGATCATTTTAATAGATGCAAGAAAAGCATTTAACAAAATCCAACACTTTCATGATAAAAAGTCCCACCAATGTTGTTCCTACCAAACTTGCAAAAATAAAACTCTGATAATACCAAGTACTGGCGAGAATGAGGAGCAATGGGAACTATCATACACTCCTGGTAGAATGTGAATCAGGTATACAGGATGTGTGACAGAATCCACAAAAGCAAAAGATACATATTCTATGCTACATTCTTTCATAGGGGAAGGCTCTTAGAAAATACATACACACACATACAAACATATTTGCATAAAATACCCAGAAGATTACAAAAGAGATGAAAAACAGTTGCCTGAAAGGAGGGGACCTATGTAAGAGATTAAAGGACAGAGAGGTTAGAGGAAGACTGTTCATAATACTATTTTTCAACTTCTAAACTCAAACTATTAAACATGGAAGATTTAATTATGATAAGGAGGTATGTTTTCAGCCTTGACACAAAGTTAGAGCTAGAAGTGAGCTAACAATGGGAAAGGAAGGAATAAGTGCATTAATAGTCCTACCTTACAAAGTGAGTTGTCAACAAAAAATACATATTTTAGTATGCTACGTAAATTGTAAAGGTAACAGAGGAACTAAAAATAATGATAAAACTACCAAAAACAAAAAAGAGGGAAAGGATTGATGGGGTAGTATAGGTTAACCAAAACTTCATTTCTCATCGCTGGAAGTCAAAAGACAACATCTAGAGTTGATAAACCAACAACAAAGCATACTATTCAAAAATATAAGAAACCATCTGAAAAGCTAAAAACAAATAATGACAAGATGAGGGGCAGCAGCTGCGTCATAAGGTAACTATCTGACTTTTAATCATGAATATATACTGACTCGATTAAAAAAAATAATTCCACTTAGAACATACACATCTAAGGACATAAGAACATTTACTTTACCAAGTACAAAATAATATAATACTGACTAAATCCTAGGTGGCTAAAATGACCAGCCAAAAGGAATTACTGAGATTATTGAATCCAAAGATGAAAATGAATACATCCACCACTTACTAAATGGTCATTTATTAAAAATCCAAGCCAAGCATTATGCATGGTATAGGCTAAAGTGGAAAACTTCGTAAGTTCTCCACACTTCTATTCCTAGTACCCTCCAATTTATCATTCTGGCACCACAGGTTGGTACTCCTATATCTTTAAGACAGAAACTTAAATAAATTGCTCAACTCTTTGAAACGATGGTAATTAAAAATAAACAGAAGTGCTCACTTCAGCAGCACATTTACTAAAATTTAAGAATACAGGGAAGATGAGCATGGCCTCTGAGCAAGGACAACACACAAATTCATGAAGCGTTCCATATTTAAAAATAAAAATAAACAGCTAGTTAGGCTCCAAACATTTCTGATTGAGGAACTGACAAAATGTCCATCACAAGCAGGTGCCCACCTCAGGTAGACAGCCAACAACTTATTTTTAAGATAGATGAGTATGCAGAAAAGAGGCTTAAAAAAAAATCTACAAATTAAGAGAATACTCAATAATCTAGGCTTAAAGCTAGTCATAGGAATGTATCTTAAAAGACATTTAAAATAATAATATCCATACAGCCAAAGCTACAGTTTTTCTAGTAGTCATGTACAGATGTGAGAATTGGGCCATAAAGAAGGCTGAGTACCGATGAATGATGCCTTCAAATTGCGGTGCTCGAGAAGACTCTTGAGAGTCCCTTGGACAGCAAGGAGATCAAACCAGTCAATCTTAAAGAAAATCAACCCTGAATACTCATTGGAAGCACTAATGCTGAAGCTCCAATACTCCAGCCATCTGAAATGAAGAGCCAACTCACTGGAAAAGATCCTGAGGCTGGCAAGATTGAAGGCAACAGGAGAAGGGGGCAACAGAGGATGAGATGGTTAGACAGCATCACCAACTCAATGGACATAAATTTGAGCAAACTCTAGAAGCGGAGGACAGAGGAACCTGACATGCTATAGTACGTGGGGTCGCAAAGAGTTAGACATGACTTAGTGACTGAGTAACAACAACAACCGAAAAGGCCAGAGACCAGGCTGATTACAGGTGCAGAACAGAGGAGTGTAAAAAAAAGAAAAAAACTGAAATAATTCAAAAAAAGATTTCTGAAAGTGATCAAGGCTTCGGGGAAGTAGAGAGAACATCCTGGTATGGCAAAGGTGGGAATGGACTGAAGGTACAGCTTTCACAGAGCTCTTCAGTCAGATTCCATGTAGGAAACAGTAAGCTGATCAGATCGAGGAATTCAGTAGGAGTGAGAGCTCTGAGAAAAGCTAGCTAATATGAGGAATTGCAAATATTTTCTATCTCTATGATGAGATTTAGTCAGAAAACAGGAGTTAACCTGAAATTCCTAAGGAAAAAGTAACACAGGCCAGAAGAGTATCTCACAGCAACAAAATAATTACTTTACACAGACTGCTGAAGAAGAAAGAAGAAGAAACAACCCTTTAAATGTTGGCAATCATTTCTGATCTCCAGCATTATGATGAGGGGTAAGATTTATATCTAAGGGGGGCAATCAAAGTAAGAATCAAACTTCTGAATCTACCTAACTCGACTGGGTTCTTCACAGTTCCTCCCATTTTCTATGGTTAAGCAGTTTTCAGCAGGAAGTTCTAATTATTCAAGGGAATTTGAATTAGAATTTGTTTGTCCTAACAGTGTGGAGATTTCTTAAAAAGCTGGAAATAGAACTGCCATATGACCCAGCAATCCCACTTCTGGGCATACACACCAAGGAAACCAGATCTGAAAGAGACACATGCACCCTAATGTTCATCGCAGCACTGTTTATAATAGCCAGGACATGGAAGCAACCTAGATGCCCATCAGCAGACGAATGGATGAGGAAGCTGTGGTACATATACACCATGGAATATTACTCAGCCATTAAAAAGAATTCATTTGAATCAGTTCTAATGAGATGGATGAAACTGGAGCCCATTATACAGAGCAAAGTAAGCCAGAAAGATAAAGACCATTACAGTATACTAACACATATATATGGAATTTAGAAAGATGGTAACGATAACCCTATATGCAAAACAGAAAAAGAGACTCTGATGTATAGAACAGACTTGTGGACTCTGGGAGAAGGCGAGGGTGGGATGTTTCAAGAGAACAGCATTGAAACACGTATATTATCTAGGGTGAAACAGTTCACCAGCCCAGGTTGGGTGCATGAGACAAGTGCTCGGGCCTGGTGCACTGGGAAAACCCAGAGGGATCGGGTGGAGAGGGAGGTGGGAGGGGGGACCGGGATGGGGAATACATGTAAATCCATGGCTAATTCATTTCAATGTATGACAAAAACCACTGCAATGATGTAAAGTAATTAGCCTCCAACTAATAAAAATAAATGGAAAGAAAAAAAGAATTTGTTTTTTCTATCTTAAATAGGAAATAGGGAGAAAAATTATTCCTACATGGAGAAAAGAAGAACAAGGCCATTCGTTTTATAAGGTTTTGAACTCAGATCATTAGCACAGGAAAGACAGATGGAAATGATTACCTACTAATAGAGAACTCACCTTCCAGGAAAGCAAATTCATCCACAGCTTCTATTGCATTATCTGAAACATAAGGTAAAGAGACATCTGAATAACTTTGGTCACTTGGGCATCAATCTCTTACAAAAGCACAACCCACACAGTGACCAGCATGAGGCTTTATGCAGTGAGGGAATTTAAAAAATTTGCTCCTTGCTCTCTTGAAATCCAAATCAACTCCACCACCAAATCCTACACATCAGCTATCTCTTTACAAGAGTAAGAAAAGGGACTTCCCTGGCCATCCAGTGGTTAATTAAGACTCTGGGCCCCAATGCAAGGGGCAAGGGTTCAATCCCCAGTCAGGGAACTAAAATTTAAAAAAAAGAGAGAGAGAAAGAAAATAAGAAAAGCATGGGTAAATACTGTTCACAAAGGGAAACGTCTTTGCTCTGAAAGTTATCAGAGAAGAGTTTGGCTATATAGCAGGGCAAGTGAGATTAAGGTACATGAGTTTACACATGTTCTAGTGTTACTAGCTACAAGGCAGAGTAAAAAATCAAACAATTACGTGAAAAAAGCGTCATGCCTGGTAAAACGTGGCAGAAGGTATAAAGGGATCTATATAAGTCAGGTTTGGCAACACCTAGACTCCTTTGGTTCTCTGTCCCAGCACCTCTCCAGCCACCCAAAGCATACAGATTAAAAAAGCAGGGTTTTCTGGCACTGTGGCAGCCTGACAGAAAACATCAGAGGAAGAGACTTGGGGCACCTCTCCTCCTATAGTGATGCCACCTCAACTGGCATAAGGGAAAGCCTTGACGGGCCCAGCCCAGCCCAGCCCAGCCCTCCCTTGTCTGCCTCCAGATTCAAGATACCGCAGTGACACTCTACCCAAATCTCTCCTCTGAAGAGTTTTCCGCTTCCCTTGCTGAGCACAACAGTAGGCATCTTTTGCAATGGTTTCCACAAACAGTTCCTGTGAAGAAAATAAGCAGGAAAAAAAACTTAAAAAGTTATAATAAACAAACGAAAATTTGAAAACAAAAAAACCAAAAACAAACAGAACTGTATCCATGAGTTCCAGTACAATTCTTGTGCGTGCTTCTTTTGCGGGTGGGTGGGGGATGAAAGGGAGGTTCTCAGGGAAGCTGAAGGTTTTCCCGGACTTCAAGAAGGTCTACTCCCTTTCCCCATCCCGCAGTTGCTCAAGATGCATCCACCCCACTCACTCACTTGAGACTCCTACAAGTTCTGTCAGACTAGAGGTGCAAGTTATAAAGTCGCGTCCAGGCCCTCATGAAGAGGTAGATGTGTTAGCAAACCAGTACAACTACTGCATCTCTTGTCTTCCCTTCCTAGACTCACCATCTCAGAACCCGCCCTAGCACCTTTCTCACCTCCCCGCCCTCAGAACACCCGGCCCTACGCTCCCGCCGCTCCCCAAACCACTACCAAAGGATCGCTAAGCCCCGCCCTTCGGAAGAGCCCCGAGCCCCGCCCGTCGCCACGCACCGCGGCCCCCCATCCCCGCCCCATTGTGCCCAAGCCGCACCGCGGCGCGTGCCAGAATGAAGATGGCTTCCTGTCCCGCGAGAGTCACGTCGGGGTCCGCCTTCACCAAGGCCTTCACTCGAGCCAGAGGCAGCCTCGAGAGACGAGCTCCGGGCGCACTCGTTGGGGCTGGGGGCTGCGGAGTGGTTGCGTCCCCACCGGTACCCTCCTCCTCCCGGGAAGCCCCGCTTCCAGGCGCCACCGCCGCCATCCCGGCCCTGAGCGTCCTGCGCGCGGCCGCCAAGTGTGTGCGCGCAGGCGGCGCCGGCCCCTTTCCCGCGCGCGCTGGAAGCCACGCCCTCTAGGGGCGCGTGACTCCGCCCCTCACGCGTCAGGGCACTGCAGCGAGTTCTAGGCACCTGTCGAGTCTCACTGCACAAGTGTCACATCTTCTGGGGTCTGGGGATCTGTCTTACTGTGTCTTATGACTCTCACGCGCCATCTTGCCTCTTCTGAGAAACTTGATTGTAAAAGTAAATACAGCAATAATAGAAATACATGGGAGAAACTTGAACAAGTTTATATGCTACTGGAGGAGACTAAAATAGAAGCAATAAAAATGTGGGAGGGAAAAGAAAAGCTATGGACAATATTTTAACAATTCTTCCCCCTTTCTCTGATAAGACCTCATCTGTATCAGAGTCGAATAAGGAGAAAGAAACCACAGAATTTGAACAGTAAAGTTTAAAAATTCATAACTATAATAGGGGATTGACTATTAAGGTGCAAAGAGAACTGTAAAGAACAGAGGAATTGCATGTATGCTCTCACGCTGAGGTAGAAAAGCCAAGGATGAAATGAACACGAAAGAGCACCCCATCCCGCCAGAGCTGCGATTAAGGTCTTGTTTCGGAGGGCACAGCCGTGACTCCCTGAGCAGCAAAGTCGCTTAAGTGCCCCGTGGCTGGACTCATGGGAATTCACCTTCTGGGGCGCTTCGAAAACATGCCTAAGGAGAGGTGCTGCACACTGCTGGCCACTGTGCACCACAAAAACCTGTTCTCAAAAAGCCACAGTGGGACCAAGAAATGCCCCCTTTTGTCCTCCAATGCACACTACTGAAATAGCATAAAATCATAATCATGTGGCTGAAGAGAAACCTTCCGACCTAGCCAGCAAGCAATGAAGGTGGATCTGGTACTAAGAAGCAATCGATTGATAATGGCACACCAGTTCGTCAGTTCACTCAACTCATGTCCAACTCTTGGTGACCCCATGTACTGCAGCATGCCAGGCCTCCCTGTCCATCACCAACTCCCAGAGCTTGCTCAAACTCATATCCATCGAGTCAGTGATGCCATCCAACCATCTGATCCTCTGTCCTCCCCTTCCTCCTGCCTTCAGTCTTTCCCAGCATCAGGATCTTTTCCTATGAGTCACTTCTTTGCATCAGGTGGCCAAAGTAGTGGAGCTTCATTTTCAGCATCAGTCCCTCCAATGAATATTCAGGACTGATTTCCTTTAGAATTGACTGGTTTGATCTTCTTGCTGTCCAAGGGACTCTCAAGAGTCTTCTCCAGTTTAAAAGCATCAATTCTTGGGCACTCAGTCTTCTTTATGATTCAGTTCTCACATCTGTATATGACACATCAACCCGAGTTAAATCCAATCTTATGTTTATTCTACACTGACACTGACACAGCTGTATGCAGGTTGAGAGAACAACAAAACGTCAACAATGAAAAACAAACTGACTGGTCTTACAAGTCTTATGGTCAGTCTCAAGTGAAAATCAGAGCAGCCAACAATCCCACCACATTCTGCTCACTTGCCTACTCACCAGATAAGTATTTGACACCTTCTTTCTACTCCTCAAACATATCACTCCTTCGCAATCCCTTGGCTGTCTCTACTGATCACCTCGGTTGCTATTTCACAGAGAAAATAGAAGCACTGAGATTGGAGCTTCTGCCCACTCTCATCTCCACACCTGCTCACCAAACAGTACCTACAGCCAGGTACTCTGCCTTCCCAGCTGTTTCTAGACTGAAATGTCAGTGCTTCTCTCCAAGGCCATTCCCTCCACCTTCGTCCATTAGGTTTCCAACCCTTCTTGCTTTCTCAAGGAAGTCGCTGTGGCATCTCTTCTCTCTCTTCCTCTCACTCTCTTTCTTTCCCTCTCTTAAAGCATCTACTTTTCCTCCTTCTGCTGAACCATTCCTGTTAGTAAGTGTGTGCTAAGTCGCTTCAGTCATGTTCAGCTCTTTGCGACCCTATGGACTGTAGCCCACCAGACTCCTCTGTCCATGGGATTCTCCAGGCAAGAATACTGGAGTGGGTTGCTGTGTCCTCCTCCAGGGGATCTTCCCAACGCAGGGATCAAACCCGTGTCTCATGTCTCCTGCATTGGCAGGCAGGTTCATTACCATTAGCACCACCTGGAAAGCCCTCCTATTAGCATACATCTTTACTAAAAAATTTGCTCTTGACCCACACACCCCTCCAACTTCTGCCTCATTTCTTTGCTCTTATTTGAAAAAACAAAACAAAACAAACCTTTTGCAAACTTACCTATATTCATTATCTCCAATTTATCTTTTTTCACTCCCTCTTGCACTTATTCTAGTGAAGTATTTAATACCACCATCCACTGAGATTGCATTTTCAGGATCATCAATGACCACGGCCACACCTGGTGTACAGAAACTTGGAAAGATATTTTTTTCAGGGCTCTTGTCTATCTAAACAATTTGATCTTAAAATGTATTTCAAAAGCTGTGGACCCTTGTGAAGTGCTAGTATTCCAAATCAGCGAAGATTTAGGCTCATCAATAGAGGATTTGTTTGTTGTATTAAGAAGGCACATAAAGACTCTTCATAGAGTCCAGGCACCAATTATTCCTGTTGAGGTGCAAGGAAACATCTATTTATGATGTCTAGGCTAATATTATATCTCTCGCAATGAGAAAAAGGCAGCAACACAATAGGAATAACAATCGCTGACAATGTCAGAGCTCTCTGAAACCTGTTTGTATTGAAACAATATGGCTTTGGGTTTGGAGGTTTTGCCTGCTGTTTGTGCCTCTGCAATCCTCTAATACCGTTTATTTAATGCTGGTTGCATCATTACTCATGAGGCTGCAAACATAAATTGTGGTACCTATGCATACTCTCTCAGAGAGTGTCTACCAAAAAATGCAAGCCTCTCCAAGCTTTATATACATGAAAATATGGATGATAATCCAGTTTCTGATTATATTAAATTTTCTATTTGGATTTTTATAGTATTAATGTATAGCAATATATCTTCAAATCATCTTTTCTCTTGAATTCTTTAGGCTATAACCACTGCATTTTTAGAATATGATCATTTTAGTGTTGTCTACAGTTCTGCTTTCAAACACACAACTATCAAAAGGAAAGAGAGGTAAGGAGACATGAATGGTGCAAGAAAAACAGTCCCAGTAACACCAAAAATGCCCATTCCTTAGCCATAGCTGAAGACTGACCTGGGAAAGTATACTATCACCATATCATTTGGAGGCAAGAGAGGGCATTGGTTGGAAGAGCCTGCTGTCATTGCAAAGCAATAGTCTTAAAAGCCCTCAGAGGAGTTATGCATAGTCACCCCTGGAGAACTCATGTGTGATGCGAAGCCTGATGGGGGCATGGGATGAAAGCTCCCAGTAGCAAGGGGGTATGCAGGGTAAAGGATGCCTGCCACTGTCCCATACCTTTGAGAGCTAGAAATCAGAGATGACACTATGGCTGGAACACAGATGCGTAGGAGCTGAGGTGGGCACACACATGCAGCTCAGGTCACAATGTTGGCATGGATCATCAACAGCCCAGTGCCCGGTGTCTGATGAGAGTCACCCAAATCAATGTGTCCGTGCCATTCTGGTGACCCAGTCTCACACAAAATCACATCAGCCAGTAGGAGAGATCCAGTTGTCAGGCTGCCCTCCCAGACCAGGGCCCAGCCCTCAGAGGACCCTGTGGGCACAAATCTTGGGGCGCCTCAAGGCAACAGGTCAACCCTACACGTGGAGTAGAGGTTTGGAGGGTGCCCTCAGGGGCAGAAAACAAGGATTGGGCTCACACAGGTCCCTGTCTGAAGACCGGAGCTGTCATCTGTGCCCAACCTCTGGTCTACTGTGACTAAATGAGCCCTACTGGAAAGAGAGCAGATAACCCCACTTGTATTTTTTCCACTTGCACTGTTGCCTAAGCTTCTCTCCAAGGATCCTTATTTTTGTTCTAGACTTGATGTTACCTGTGTTCACTCTAAGGACAAGATACAGAATTCCTCATTGCCAAGAATTAATTTTTATAGTCTTTGGAGATACCCAATGATTCATCAGGAAGTTTGTTTTTCCAAAGATGCAGTTGAGTCACAGAATTTCCAATCTAGAAGTGATTTGGGATGTTCATAAAATCATAGACATCCAGATATGAAAGAGCTTTAAGGTCGTTTAGATCAATTCTTTATTTCTGAATTCCCTCTTTCTAAACCTCCTCTCTTAGTTTCTATGACATCCAATACCCTAGTTTCCCACTTTCTCTTTCTAGCCATTCTTTCTCAGCCTCTTTTGTAGGTTACTTTTCCCAGGGCTAAACCTTCATACTATTTTTCTCACTCTAGGTCCCTAAATGAGCTCATCCAGGCCAATGGCTTTAAAAACCATCTATAGGCTAACGATTTACAAATTTATATTTCCAGCCCCACACTCTCCACTATGTTTCAGGCTTGTGTATCCAGCTATCATTGTTCCTTGCCACTGGTATATCTCTCAAAAGTCTCAAACTTGAAATGCTTAAAAATAGACTCTAGATTTTACCTTTCACACATATCAGTGAGTTCTCCCCTCCTAGCATTCCAAGCGAATGGTTCTGCTATCCATACAGATGCCGGAGCCTTAAACCCAAGAATCCTTTTTCTTACCTACCTTCTTTTCCTTCAGCCTCATGTCCATTCTGTTAATAAATTCTTTCTATTTTGCTCACCTTTTTTCAAATGCCTCTACTTCTTTTCATCTCCAATGCCAACATTCTTACCCAAGTCATCATCATCTCTCCTCTGGACCATTCCAATAGTGTCCTAACTGGATTTCCCTATTCTAACATTGGCTCAGTCTATGCTCTGTTTAGCAACTGGAGAATTATTCCAAGGTGTGAATTTGAATCTTCAATCATTTAATGGCTCCCCTGTATCCAGAATAAATTTCAAACTCATATAACTGCTTCATATAACTTGATCACCTCTGACCT